TAGCACCCATGGTACCCATGATGCCCGTGGTACCCATGACGCCCATGGTACCCATGATACCCATGGCACCCTTGGTGCCCATGACACCCATGACACCCATGACACCCATGGCCATGGGTGCCAGCTGGGGGTGGGGGGTGCTTGATAGGGGCCTGATCCAGCCCGGCCCTGTCCCCGTTCCCTCCTGTTGTCCCATGGGGTGTCCCTCTCCCCCACACCCACAGTGTCCCCCCATGCCCCACAGCACCTGTGGTGTCCCCCGGGGGGGGTGCACGTGTGTGGCAGGATCTGTGTGTGAACACGTATGTGTATGTGCATATGCTATGTGCAAAGGTGTGTGCGTGCACATGTGTGTGCAGTGCATGTGTGCGCACACCGGTGTGAGCTCTGCGTGTGCACACAGGTGTGTGCATGTGATGTGTATGCGTGTGTGCACACACAGGTGTGTGTGTACGTGTGTTTCTGTGTGTTCATGAGTGTGTGTGCATGTGTGTGTGTTCACAGGTGTGTGCACACGTGTGTTGTGTTCATGGGTGTGTGTGCACATGTGTGTGTTCATGAGTGTGTGTGCTCATAGGCGTGTGTGTTCATGAAGGTGTGTGCACGTGTGGGTTCCTGGAGGGGTGTGCACACATCTGTGTGTGTTCATGGGTGTGGCTGTGCGCACACACACAAGCAGTGGGGAGGGGGGTGCGTGCACAGGGGTGCATGTGTGTGTAGTGTCAGTGGGTTTGTTGCCCATGTCAGTAGCGTGTGCGTGCAGTGCGTACACGGGGGGGGGGGTGCGTGAACACGTGTGAGCAGGGCATGTGTGTGTATCCTGCATCCTGGAGTGTGCGCACACCTCAGCAGTGTGTGTGTACGCTGTGTGCACGGGGGTATGCGCACACCGAGTAGTGTGTGGACTGCGTGTGCGGGTGTAGGTGGGGGGTGCACACGTGTGAGCAAGCAGCGTACGCTTGCACTGAGTGTGTGGGGGTGTACACGTGTGTGTGTACATACACGTGTATGTGTGTACCTTTGCTGTGGATGTATGTGTGTATGCACAGGTGTGTACAGGCCAGGTATATGTGTGTGTGTACTGTGTGTGAGCCATTGGTGTGTGGTCATGGCTATACATGTGTGTGTATGCACACACACGTGTGTGGAGGTGCACACACACACAGAGGTACAGCCACACACCCCAGTACCCACACACACAGGGACACACAGGGGTACAGCCGCACATTTGTACGGTGCCGAACACAGGTGCACACGTGCACACATGTACAGGCACACACAGGTACAGCCGCACACATTGGTACACACGTGCACATCAGTACAGCCACACACAGGCACACTGGCACACATGTGCACAACTACAGGCACGTGTACAACCCCCACACACACATACATGGACAACCACACATACATCCACACCCCTGCAATGCATACACACACCTGCACGCCCACACGTGGACACAACCACACACGCATGCACAGCCATGCATGTTTGCACACCCACAGAAGACATGCACACACATCCATACGTGCACGGCCACGCACGTGTTCATACACACACACACGCACAGCCGCATGAACATGCACAGCCACACACATGCAGATCTGCACACGTGTGTGTACACCTGCACACACGTGCAAACCTGCCCACGCTTGCACACGTGCACACCCAGATACACACACGTGCACACCAGTACACACATGCACGGTCCCCACGTGCGCACACCGCCACACCTGCACTCATGCACCTGCCTGCACACACATGCACACGCATGCATACCTGCACACACGTGCACACACGTGCACACCCACCCAGAGCCACGTGCACCTACACATGGGCAACTGCGGGCTTCTCCGCACGGGGACGGGGACGGGGACAGGTGACCCCCATGGGGTGGGGGGGTGTCCCCGGGTGGGGACGCGGGCAGGTGCCCTCGCTGACCCCTGTGTCCCCAGACCACCAGAAGCTGGAGCGGGAGGCCCGCATCTGCCGGCTGCTGAAGCACTCCAACATCGGTGAGTGGCACCTGGCCCAGGACACACTGGGGACGCCACGGGGGTGTGCGCGGTGCCACTGTGGGGACAGGCTGGGTGCCACCCTGGGATATGCCGGGTGCTCGCCTGGGGACATGTGGGGTCTCATCCCCGGGGTCCCGCGGGGTGCCACCCCAGGGATGTGCTGGGTATCAGCCCCAGGACACGCCGGGTGCCACCGCGGGGCTGTGCTGATGCCACCTGGGGACATGCTGGGTGCCCCTCTGGGGACATGCTGGGTCCCACCATTGGGGTCCTGCTGGGTGCCACCGTCAGGACACACTGGGTGCCACCCTGGGGACAAGTTGGGTGCCACCATTGGGACACACTGGGTGCCCCTCTGGGGACATACTGGGTGCCACCATTGGGGTCGTGCTGGGTGCCACCCTGGGGACACGCTGGGTGCCGCCCTGGGGACACACTGGGTGCAGGTGTGAGGGCTGCATGTGCCACAGACACGTGTGTGCCACAGACACGTGTATGCCACATGTGGCAGCTTGCCA